GTGGTTATGGCAATGCATATTGAAATGAAAGCTCCAAATTATCCTGCAGGAACAAAAGTGCAGCTCCTGCTCGTGCTGGGGTCGGGCTGGGAGCCAGCAGGGTTTGGGATTTGTGGAGATCCAGATCCATGGGATGGCTTGGGATGTCCCTAAATCCCTTCCAGTGCCAAGGGCAGGGACAGGTCCCACTGTCCCAGGCTGCTCCAAACCTGTCCAGCCTGGCCTTGGACACTTCCAGGGTGATCATTGCAGGGAATTATTGTATGGAACAGACTGGTGATGTCTCTCCATGGTTTTGTTCTGCTCTACACTGATTTATCTGGGTGTAAATCTCTCTCCAGCTGTGGTTCCCAGCAGGAAAGGTGAGCAGGGATTGCCATTCCCAGCCATTCCCAGTCATTCCCAGTGCCCTGTGCCCCCCTGGCAGGGATCCCAGCAGGAAAGGTGAGCAGGGATTGCCATTCCCAGCCATTCCCAGTGCCCTGTGCCCCCTGGCACAGATCCCAGCAGGAATGGTGAGCAGGGATTGCCATTCCCAGTCCCACTGGGGCTGGGAGCTCCCAGAGCATCCCAAAGCACTGCAGGGGGCTGGGGGCTCTCTCCATCACCCAGGGAGCTCCAGCTCAGCCTGGGGCTGAATTTGGGGTGGCAGAGAGGGCAGGGCAGCTGTGCTGAGCCCTGCAGCAGCTGTGCCAGCTGTGCCAGCTGTGCTGGGCTGTTCTCCCCAGCAGCCCCTGTGCAGGGCAGCTGCTGCTCAGGGAACACCCCACGTTCCTGAGGCACAGGGAAGGGGCATCATCACACTCAGAAAGTGCTGAATGTTTGTGATGAACGTGTCTGGGCCTCACAGAGGAGCAGAGGAAGGAAGGGAAATTTTCTCCGAGGGGGCTCCTGGGCAGGCTCGTGTTTCCCCAAACAAGAATTGCCTTGAGGAGGAGCCTGGTGTGTCCTTGAGGGGAAGGGGGAGCAGAGCTCAGGGGCTGCACGAGCTGAAGGAGGCTGCCTGCTCGGTAAAAAGTCGATTTTTTTTTAATTACTCCTCAAGTCTTCCTTGTTATCAAGCAAAGAGACTTCTCTTGTCCTTTGCAGATTGGCAGGACTGCCCCAAATTATCTCATCAGGATGGACTGTGCTTCTGGATGAAGCAAGTCCCTGGGCCCTGATCTCCAGAAGCTTCTGGGGTCAGGGGATGATGACAGCAGCAATAATGAACGTGGCTGGGTGCATTTCTGGGCCTGCCTGTGGGACACAGTGGCTGCAGTTGCTGATTTCCCTGTCCTTGCCCTCAGACTGGCTGTTGATGTCCCAGGGTGTCACCAGCTCCTCCTCCCTGTGCCTGGGGACAGTTTGGATGGCCCAGGATGAGCCCTGGGGGCTCTTCTCAATGGGCAGGGGAGGTTTAGATCAGATATTAGGGAAGGGGTTGTAAAGCACAGGAACAGGGAATGGTGGAATCTCCATCTCTGGAGGGGTTTCAGTGCTGTGGATGTGGCACTTGGGGACATGGTTTAATGGTGACCATGGTGGTGCTGCTGCTGGGACTTGAAGGTTTTTTTCCAGCCACAGTGACTCTGGGATTTCCTGATCCCAGCTGGTGCTGGTGGCACCCACCTGGGAATGGGCAAATTCCTCCAGAGTGAAGTTCCAATGGTGACTGAATTTAATGAGATATGGATTTATTCTGGTTCCTTCTCCCCCAAACCATCCTGCACTCCTGGAATGGGCAAATTCCTCCAGAGTGATGTTCTAGTAATGACAGAAATGGATGAGATATGGATTTATTCTGATTTTTTTTCTCCCCACACTATCCTGCACCCCTGGAATGGGCAAATTCCTCCAGAGTGAAGTTCCAGTAGTGACAGAATTTAATGAGATATGGATTTATTCTGGTTCCTTCTCCCCACTCCATTCTGCACTCCTGGAATGGGCAAATTCCTCCAGAGTGATGTTCCAATAGTGACAGAATTTAATGAGATATGGATTTATTCTGATTTTTTTTCTCCCCACACCATCCTGCACCCCTGGTCTCCTCTGCCTGGAATGGGCAAATTCCTCCAGAGTGAAGTTCCAATGATGACAGCTCACCCCTGTCCCTGTCCCCTCTGTCCCTGCTCACCTGTCCCTGCTCACCTGTCCCTGCTCACCTGTCCCTGGGGAAGGTTTTTGCTGCCACAGGGACAGAGCAGGTGGGGCTGTGGATCTGAGGGATCCCAGCCCAGCCCTGGAGCCTCAGCAGCCCAGATCTCCCCTCTGGATCCCATCATCAGCCAAACCAATCAGGGCACAGATTTCCTCAGATTTCCTCAGATTTCCTCAGATTTCCTCAGATTTCCTCAGATTTCCTCAGATTTCCTCAGATTTCCTGTCCTTCCCTTTCTGCCTTCAGCTGCTCTGTCCCTGCTGCAGTTCCTGGAAGTGTGGGTGGCCCTGTGTTTGGAACATGCTGGGAAATGCCTGAAATAATCTCAGGAATGGGCAGATGTTCTCCAAACGCCCTGTTTGCCTCTCCAGGCCTCCCTGGCTCTGCAATCACCCAAAACTTCACAGTGAAGAACATTTTCCTCCTCCCTCCCCCTCCTCAGGCTTGCTTTTGAGTAAAATTGGCCTCAATGGAATAATGAAGCCCTCGGAGTGTGGGTTCACATGCAGGTGTAATTCCAGCCCAGGTTATGTTCAGTTCAGACCAGAGGCTGATATTGCATCGTGACATTCAACTCCATCCAGCCTTTATTTGTATTCCAAAGCCATCCATTGCAAAGACTGCTCTTCATAAGCACAAAGAGCTCCAAAGCATAAATATTTATTCCTTAAAGGTTAAGATTGCCTTAAATCATTCCTGCTTATTTGGTGAGCAGCAGTTATAATTAAAATAAGCAGTTGAACTCGATGTGCATGTATGAAATGCATATATATGTGTATATAAATATATATTTATATATACTTGACTCTGGTGAGGATGGAAGCCGTGGGATAATTGCTTCCATCACATCAAAAGATGCAGTGATATTGTTCCTGGATTGGGTAATAAATCAACATAAAGAAGCAGCTGAAATTCTCTGATGGCAAGTCACGTTTGAGCAGGCGAGGTGGGGAATGAGCACAGCTCGTCTCGAGTGCTGCCTGCAATTGCAGGGGATAATTATGCAAGTTATGGAAATTATGCCAGGTTTGGGTGTAGAGAATTCATAGAGCCCAAGGACAGGGCTTGGAGCAGCCTGGGACAGGGGAAGGTGTCCCTGCCATGGCACTGGGTGGGATTTGGGGTCCCTTCAACCCAAAGTGCTCTGGGATTCCATGGGGAGCAAACCGGCCTCGAGTGCTGGCTGGAATTGCAGGGGATGATTGTGCAAATTATGGAAATTATGCCAGGTTTGGGTGTAGAGACTCCAAGCACGGGGCTTGGAGCAGCCTGGGACAGTGGGGGGTGGCACTGGGTGGGATTTAGGATCCCTTCCAGCCCAAATCCCAGTCTGGGATTCTGTGTTCTGTGCTGGAATATGGTCCTGTGGAATTGTAGGGACACAGATCCCTGGGAACGTTCAGGGTGTGTGAGTGGGCTTTGCTGACACACTGAAGGGTTCAGAAATGATCCAAGTCATTCCAGAGTGTGGAGGAGTTGGGATGGGAGCTGTGTGAGTAGCTGCTGAAAGGAAGGGGCAGGAAATCCTGCAGCCTGGGAATTGTGTTATTCCCAACTAGAGCAGGGATGTGTCTGAACAGTTTGTAAATGGGACATGGGGACAGCTGGACACCTGGAGTTACCCTGGCAGGACGTGGGCTTGTGTGGCTCAGCTTCTGAAGAGCTTGTGCCCAGTTAATTGGAAATAAATGCTGATATAAATGGAATAAATGTGAGGTTTGACCTCAGATTTGGCAGCGGGCAGGAATTCTGCAGGCCTGGGAGCCTGGTTGAACTGGGCTGGCTCTAGCAGCAGCCCTGGGTTACTGATTGCTCATGAATAATGCACAGGAACAAATCAGAGAGTTCCTGGTTTGGCCTTGTCCGAGCAGGCTGTGAATCCCTGGATAAAGCTGCACTTTTAAAGTATTGGCAAAATAATTTCCCGTGGACAGAGTGGGACACAAAAGTTGTGATGAGTAACAGTGGAAACCAGAGGAGTGTTATTTAAAATGAGAACACTGATCTTGCTGTGACCTGCTGGGAGAGCATTGATCTACCCTGGCAAATTCTTACTTTGAGGGCCACATTTTCATTGATTTTAAATTTCTGGCGCTGTTTATTGGCTGAGGATCCGTGGGCATCGTGGCCAGGAATTGAGCTGAGCACAAACCTTGTTTTAACCCTGCAGTGGGGGCAGGAGATGTATTCAGGAGATGAATTCACTGAATCACTGAGGCTGGAGAAGCTCCCTGAGATCCCCAAGTGCAGCTGCTGGTTCTGACCACTGCCCATGGCCTCGAGTGCCACTCCTGCCTTCATGTCCCTTCTCCTGCCAGAGCTGCTGCCTGGAGAGGCTGAGCTGGAGCAGAGACTGGGCAGAGCAAAAGGGATAAAATAGGAATTTATTGAAAGGATTCACCTTGGGCTGTGCAAGAGCTTGGATGGGGCTGCACCCAAATCAAATCCCAGATGGATCCTGAGTTTTACACTTGGATAAGTTTTGGTTCATTTACACATTGGGGTCAATTATCTAAGCACAGTCCCAGGCTATGGAGGCTCAGCCCCCTGGTTTGCCCCTCTTTCCTTCCCTGTTGATGATTTTTGGGTCCCAGTTGTCCTTGATTCTCCAGCTGGGAATTGTTTTGTCCAGCTCTCCTGTGAAGAGACCTCAGTAACACCTAATTTGAAGTTTCAGAGTTACACACTAAGCAGCAGAGAGACTGAAAAATACAAAAGCTCGAACCCGAGGCATCACCACGAGCTGGGGGAAAAAGCCAAGGCTTTTAAAGGGAATCTTTATTTACCAGGGCAAAACTCCACTCTTCCACTCTTCTCCATTCTTCTCCACTTGCACTCTTCCCTTCTGGTTTGCTGGCAGGTTCTGCCTCCAGGCTGGACACTGCCGTGGGCCCCTTGGTGCCAGCACAGGTCACCCGTGTCACCGCCGTGTCCGCGCCCGCCGTCACCCTGGTGGCCACCAACCTGATGGAGCAGGCACGAGCAGGTGGGTGCTGCTTCCAGGGCTGGAA